GTCTCTTCTAACATCCTTCTTTCTGTATACGGTGATGGGTTTTTTGCCACATGTTTTGGAACCGAACCCTTGCAGAAAAAGGTCATGGACCTTCATAAATAAATAGAACCTTCCAGACTTGAACAGACAGACAGGAATTCCATTCTTGGCATAGTCTGGGACCTTCAGGCATTCAAGTGACTTCCCCATCTCACTCATCCAGGGATCACTGCCTTTGCCAGCATGGGTATTGATGTCCCCAGGCAATAGTCTCACACCATTTGGAATGTTTCTCAAAGTGTCACTTAGGGAGTAGTAGAGATACTGTTTGTTTGAAGAGCCAGGTTTGAGCTGGAGCATGAGAACAAGTCACATTGGACTGCATCTCCATCAAATGACAACGTCCAGGAGATGAGAGACTCTGAGGCTGCTACCGTGATTCGTTTGACTGTGCCAGCTAGTGCCTCATTGTGAAGCCTCCACAGAGGTCTTCAGCTGTCTTTCCCAGCCATTCAAAGTGGTAACTAACCTCTTGAAAAGTGCCTATCTTGGCAAATCTGATATCTCAGAGAGTGGCAATTTCAACACCAAGCTCCTGGTCACTCAAGGTCATCCCATGGACATTCACTGAGGAGTATGGATATAATTTCCAGAAATTTGAATCATAAGGTCGAACTTTCCCCTCCCTGGTGTGACATGAGCAATGGTGAGAAGATTTGGAAAATACAGTGTCAGTCAAAACAAAGAACCACAATCTTGACATCGAGAAAATTGCGATTTTCTCCCCTTAGACCTTAAAATGGAAACTTCAGAATCTTCTTATTGAACAGCAACCACCTTATTTCCATGTACTCACATCTTACTATTGGCCCAATTAATGGCCATAAAAGACCAAAGCTCTACTTCAAGGATGCTTGAAGGTATGCCACAAGCACCCTAGACATTGTCTGGGAGTTATTGGCCAGAGGAAAATGGTGACACTTCCCAATACCATGACGACCAGTGGCTACAGTAGCTTGGCAACAGGTGCCAAGGTGGAAAATAACAACCACGACACTCAGACGCTTGAGGCACAACACTTGAGATACAATCTCCTTCTTAAGGATCAACCACTTCTCAGAATCACAGACATGTGTCGGTGCAGTCGTGTCTGAACAAGAGTCATGACTTTGTGCCAAACTTCTGCCCTTTCCCCATAACCCTGAATATTGTTTTAATTCAAATAATCATCAAATGCCCTCACAAATTCACAGCTGCTGTCAGATCTTTTGTTTCATTCAGTCATGGGATTTTTGGGCCTCATTGGCAGGGTCAGCATTCAAAGTCCATCTCTAATTGCCCAGATTGTTATGGGTCTGGAGTCACATGTAGGCCAAACCAGGTAAGGAAGGCAGATCTCCTTCCCTAAAGGACATCTGTGAACCAGATACATTTTTCACAACAATCAACAATGGTAACAAGACAGTCATACAGCACAGAAACAGACCCTTTGGCCCAACCATTCCATGCCAACCATAATCCCAAACTAAACTAGTCCCACCTGCTTGGCCCATATCCCTCCAAACCTTTTGTATTCATGAACTTATCTAAATGTCTTTTAAATGTTGGAACAAACCTGCATCCACTGCTTCCTTTTGATGTTCATTCCACACACCAACCATTTTGTGTAAAAAAATTGTCCTTCATTTCTTTTAAATCGTTCTCCTCTCACCTTAAAAATATCTCCCGAGTCCTGAAATCCCCACCCAGTCATTTACCTTATCTATGCCCCTCATTATTTTTGTAAACCTCTATAAGGTCACCTCTCAATCTCCGATGTTCCAGTGAAAAAAGTCCCAGCTTATACAGCTTCTCCTTATAACTCAAACCCTCCATTTCGAGCAACATTCTAGTAAATCTCTTTTTAGAACATTAGAACATTACAGCGCAGTACAGGCCCTTCGGCCCTCGATGTTGCGCCGACCTGTGAAACCAATCTGAAGCCCACCTAACCTACACAATTCCGTTATCATCCATATGTTTATCCAATGACCATTTAAATGCCCTTAAAGTTGGCGAGTCTACTACTGTTGCAGGCAGGGCATTCCACGCCCTTACTACTCTCTGAATAAAGAACCTACCTCTGACATCTGTCCTCTATCTAACACCCCTCAATTTAAAGCTATGTCCCCTCGTGCTAGCCATCACCATCCGAGGAAAAAGGCTCTCACTGTCCACCCTATCTAATCCTCTGGTCATCTTGTATGTCTCTATTAAGTCACCTCTTAACCTTCTTCTCTCTAACGAAAACAGCCTCAAGTCCCTCAGCCTTTCCTCATAAGACCTTCCCTCCACACCAGGCAACATCCCGGTAAATCTCCTCTGCACCGTTTCCAATGCTTCCACATCCTTCCTATAATGCGGCGACCAGAACTGTACGCAATACTCCAAGTGCGGCCGCACCAGAGTTTTGTACAGCTGCAACATGACCTCATGGCTCCGAAACTCAATGCCTCTACCAATAAAACCTAACACACCGTACGCCTTCTTAACAACCCTATCAACCTGGGTGGCAACTTTCAGGGATCTATGCACATGGACACCGAGATCTCTCTGCTCATCCACACTACCAAGAATCTTACCATTAGCCCAGTACTCTGTATTCCTGTTACTCCTTCCAAAGTGAATCATCTCACACTTTTCCACATTAAACTCCATTTGCCACCCCTCAGCCCAGCTCTGCAGCTTATCTATGTCCCTCTGTAACCTGCAACATCCTTCTGCACTATCCACAACTCCACCGACTTTGGTGTCATCCGCAAATTTACTAACCCATCCTTGTACGCCCTCATCCAGGTCATTTATAAAAATGACAAACAGCAGTGGCCCCAAAACAGATCCTTGCGGTACACCACTAGTAACTGAACTCCAGGATGAACATTTCCCACCAACCACCACCCTCTGTCTTCTTACAGCTAGCCAATTTCTGATCCAGACCGCTAAATCACCCTCAATCCCATGCCTCCGTACTTTCTGCAATAGCCTACCGTGGGGAACCTTATCAAACACTTTACTGAAATCCATATAAACCACATCAACTGCTTTACCCTCATCCACCTGTTTGGTCACCTTCTCGAAGAACTCAATAAGGTTTGTGAGGCACGACCTACCCTTCACAAAACCGTGTTGACTATCCCTAATCAAATTATTCCTTTCTAGATGATTATAAATCCTATCTCTTATAATCCTTTCCAACACTTTACCCACAACCGAAGTAAGGCTCACTGGTCTATAATTACCAGGGTTGTCTCTACTCCCCTTCTTGAACAAGGGGACAACATTTGCTATCCTCCAGTCTTCTGGCACTATTCCTGTAGACAATGACGACATAAAGATCAAAGCCAAAGGCTCTGCAATCTCTTCCCTAGCTTCCCAGAGAATCCTAGGATAAATCCCATCCGGCCCAGGGGACTTATCTATTTTCACACTTTCCAGAATTGCTAACACCTCCTCCTTATGAACCTCAATCCCGTCTAGTCTAATAGCCTGTATCTCAGTATTCTCCTCTTCTGAACCTTCTCCAGTTTAATAATCCTTCCCATAAACAGGGAAATCAGAACTGGACACAGAAGTCCAGAAGAGGCCTTTTCAATGTCCTGTACAATCTCAACATGATGTCCCAACTCCTATACTCAAAGGACTAAGCAATGAAGGAAAGCATGCTACACGCCTTCTTAACTACCCTATCTTTATGTGATGCAATGTTCAAACAATTATGTACATGAACCTCTAGGTCTCTCTGTTCTACAACACTGCCCAAGGCCCTACTTTTACTTGTATAAGTCTTGCCTTTGTTTGTTATACAAATTGTTTTGTCAATAGCCCAGGTTTTCAATTACAGATTTGTATTCAATGCAAATTTCATTATCTGCCATGGTGGGACTCAAACGCGTGACCCCGGCATGATACTGGGTTTCTGGATGGCAAGTCCATTAGGTAGCGCCTCCAGGGCTGGCTTTCTCCAACACTTTCAGTTCCTGGAGCAATTTCCAAGTGACTATTTAAAAATAGAGGATGAAGGCTGACACGATGCCAAAACAATCTTATCTTGGGGCAGTCCCATGGAGTCCAACATGCTTTGTGACACCCTGTTTGAAATGGATGGTTTTGATGGGTGCCCATCACCTTTCAGAGATGGAAAAATGCTGACCAACCAATGCCAGCTACATTTATTTTCTCCGTTCCCTGTAAACTGGCCAAATACGTCAGCTATTAGCAGAATGTTTACGGGTGAGAAACCTGTGCCATAACAAACTTGAGGCTGGCTATTTGCCCATTCCTGAAGCAGATGTGTCAATAAACAATACCCACTATGACCTGCTTGCGCCGCTGTCTCTGAAGGCTGCCACCGGGGATGTTGGCGAGATGGGGAGGAGAAATTTGCGGCGGGCCGCAAAGCTTTCTGGGAGTTGTACTTTCAACGCCAGCTACCGGACGTCTAACCACGGCAGGAGGTGGTGAACGAAACTATAACTCCCAGGGGGCAGCGCGGAGAGAGCGGGGCGCAGGCGCGTCATTACCTCACGGATCCAGCGGCCCTGGCGCGTCCATTTGGGAGCCAGCGAGGGAGGAAGTTGTTGCAGGGGAAGGGTGTAGTCCGTTAGCGGGGAAACGACCTTTCCGCCTGAGCAGCCCGTCGCTCGTAAAGCCGTGTCCCCTGGGGGAGAAACTCCGGAAAATGTAGTTCACCGGCCGAACTTCCGGCCCGCGCCGGAAACTACGTGTCCGGGGTTTTGTTGGGGGGTGAAAGAGGGCGAGGACGCATGCGCGGCGGCAGGGCGGCCAATGTCCGGTCACAGCGCGGAGGGTGAGTGAGGGAGGTAGTAGGGAGAGGCCACGGCTGCGGGGTCCTCGTCGCTCTCAAACTGAGGCCTGGGTGGCGCTGGGCAGAGTGGGAGTTGGGGGGGTGGTGAGGAGGAGGCGGAGAGAGAGAGAGAAGGTCTTTGGGGTGGTAGGGGTTGAGGGTGAGAGAGGCCCGAGGGGTGAGGGGTTGGTCTTGGGTTAGAGGAGTAGCCCCTGAGATATGGACGGGGAGTGGCCAGGGACCACCTCCACTGGGGGTAGGTGCGGCTAGGGGCCCTCCCCCTCTAAGGTGGTGTTCCCCAGAGGCAGATTGGCCAGGGGACGGCCACCTAAGTGAGTGTGATTAATGGACCACGACTAGGAGGGAGCTCCCTTTGCCCGAAGGCGTTATTGGCCTCATTTTACGGGTAGGTGCTGGAGTAAGCAAAGCTGGAGCCACGGATCGAGCGAAGGATTTGGTTGGGGGAATGGTGAGCAACAATATGTTGAGCGTTTGCACCTGAGTTTAGAGGGTTATTAAATGCATGTTTGCAGACTCATTGGCAATTGCAAACGCGATCTTATGGCTTGCTAGTGAAACAGAACTGGTCACCAGCTGTTGAATCCTGCTTTGGACTCTGAATGTTACCTCAAGGCTGTCCTCTCTCTGGCCCTTGGGTCACTACCTAAAGCTAGGCAAAAGATTCCTAAATCTGTCCATCTGCTGATATGTCTTTTTGACTACATTGTCTTGCAATTTTGGAAAAGGGATTTTGTTCTGCCATAACCTCCTTAGTGAGTAAATCATAAGACAGAACGCAGAGAGAGATCTAACATAATCTGTAGTTTGGAGTGCGTGAAAATGATTGGGAATGTGGATTTAAGTGACCCCAATCACAGCCTCTAACATTGAATTGTTTGTACATCTGGTGCTATAGTGCAGAAATGGTGATGACGCGAGGCTGTAACTTTCACATGGTTCAAATCGCTTGGCTGCGAACAGAAATAGCACTGAATGTGACGTAATGTAACAAGTACACAGCATGACATTTGTCAGAGAGAGAATGCTACTGGACTTTGTGTGAGATGTTGGTGATGATTTTGCTTGACAAATACTATAGATGAACCTGCAAGATCTGTTGCCCCTCCGCAAGCAAACTCTCAATTGCAGAAACATGAACATCATTTGGGTGCACTTATATTTATTGTAATACTGCCTCTGAGATCAGTGGGACATAGCTGTGGTTGCTGGTGCAGATCAGAACAGTGTAGTTCTGCCACTGGAGATAAGCTTGCCACTCTGTAGTTCTGAGTATTGGCACAGTGTGATTCCAGTCACTGGCACGGATTGGTACAGCATAGTCCAAGTGTGCTGCTTTCACATATGCTAACAGCACAGTGTCATTCTGGACTCTGTCACCAGAGATTGGTGCAGTTAAGTTGTTGGTGTCCACTCTGGAATTTAGCATGGTTCCAGGCGTTGACCCAATGGTGTAGCTCCAGGCACTGTAGCAGATTGGCCAGGGGTAGTTCACAGATCACAGAATCCCTACAGTGTGGAAACAGGCCATTCGGCTCAACAAGTCCACACCGCCCTTCCGAAGAGCATCCCACCCAGACCCGTTCCCCTACCCCTGTATTTCCCATGTCTAATCCACCTAACCTCAACATCCCTGGGCACTATGGACAATTTAGCATAGCTAGCCAACCGACCTACCCTGCACACCTTTGGACGGTGGGAGGAAACCCACGCAGACACGGCAAGACTGTGCAAACTCCACACAGATTTCCAGCCTCGGGTGGCTTCGAACCTGGGTCCCTGGCGTTGTGAGGCAGCAGTGCTAACCACTGTGCCACAGTTCTCAGCCTGCAACCGGAGATTAGCATGGCTTTCAGGCAGCCGGTATCGGAGACATCGATAGTAGATAATGGAACAGGTGTTGGCACTGTCATTCTGGACAGTCTAAGGGAAGTGGTATGTTGTTTGTCTGGAAACAGGCTCAGCATATTACTGTGCACTTCTGGATATTTGCACAGGACGTCACCATGGCATATCAACCTAATAATGTGGAGAACTTCCTTGGTATATTCTGTCTACAAAAAGCATAGCAAACCAATCGGATGAATTATTTCCTCATTAGTCTTCTCTGAATCAGCAGTGTAATGGAAGGGATCGTTGACAATGCTATCTATCAACTCTTGCTCAGGAATAACCTATTCCCTGATGCTCAGTTTGGGTCCCATGAGGACTCTTCAGATCCTGACTTCATTTCAGCCTTAATTTAAACGTGGACAAATGAGCTGAATTCCACTGGGCAGGGGCGGGGGCGTGGGTGAGAATAACTGCCCGTGATGTGAAGAAGTTGTTTTAAAAAAAAAAAAAAAAATTGAAGTCAGTGGGTATCAAAGAAATGCTCCCGACCACCTGGAGTCATGAAAGAAGTTGGTTTGGCTGCTGCCAATCGTCTCAGCCAAGGACACACTGTAGGTGTTTTTCTGGGTAGTACTCTGTCAACTATCTTTTATGGTCAGGAATGGGATGTTTGCTGCACGACATAAGAGATGCATTCACAATTTTCAACTTGGAGAAACCTCCAGGCTTGGGCTGCTGTATGGAAAACCAGCCAAATAACTGTGAGCATCTCCAGCAAAGGAGAATCTATATGTTTCCCTTTTGACATTCAGTGGTATAACATCAGTAATTTCCCATTATCAACATCCTGGGGTTAACCGTTAATCAGAAATAGAAATGGGCTGCCCATTATCAATTCGATGTCTGCAAAAGCAGGTCGAAGGCTAGGAATTCTGTGGTGTCTAACTGGCTTCCTGACACCCTAAAACCTGTTCTCCTATCTCTAAGGTACAAGTCAGGCATGTGATGGAATACTCCCCACTTGCTTGGCTATGTGCAGCTCCAACAACACAAGCTTAACACAATGCAAGACAATGCAAATTGCTTGACTGGCAGTCCATTTACCACAGTCAACATTCACTCTTTTCACCGGTGGGCAGTGGTAGCAATGTATACTGTCTACAAAATGCACTGCAGCAATTCAAGGCTCCTTCAACAGCGCATTCCAAACCCATGACCTGTATCATCTAGAAGGACAAGAGCAGCAGATGCATGGGAGCACCACCACCAGCAATTTCCCATTCAGGCCACATAACATCCTGACCTGGAAACATATCAGTGTTCCTTTGCTGTCATTGGGTCAAAATTGGAGGTTCACTAGGTTGATTTTTCATGTGAAGGGACAGTGTTATGAGGAGAGTTTGAGTAGGTTGACTTGTCCTTCATGGAGTTTAGACGAATGAGAGGTGACCTTCTTGAAACATAGAATATCAGGGAGGGCTTGATAGTTTAGGTAGAGAGTGGTTGTTTCTCCTTTGGGAGAGTGTAGGACTAAAGGGCATAGTCTGTGTTGGGGGCACCTATTCAATACAGAGATGTTCTTTTTTCAGAAGGTAGTCAATCTGGAATTTTTGTTTTACTGGAGAGAGCTGTTGAGGTTGGTTTATTAAGTATATTCAGGACTGAAATTTTTAATCAGTAAGGTAATCAAGGGAGAAAGCAGGAAAGTGGAGGTGAAAATGTTTAGATCAGCTGTGATTTTGTTGAACGATGAAGCAGATTTTATGGGTCAAATGGGCTACTTCTGTTCCTATGTCTTGTGGATTAACTCTTTCTAACAGTATTGTACGTATATCTGCGACTAATTAATTGCAGCGGTATAAGACAGCTCACGGACACCTTCTGCAGGAAAATTCGTGCTAAGTTTAAAAAGTGCTGATGTAGCCAGCGAATCTCATCCTATGTACAATTAAAACAGCAATTCAAGACAAGGATGGCAGCGTGACGTGGTTCATTGACACAGTGCAGTTCTGAATACAAGCACAGTTTTTGAGAGCACTGGTACAGGATATATTTGACCAATAGGTATGTTGGTGCTTCCCATACAGTTGCTACATTGAATAATACTTGAAGATATTTTCTAATCAGCCCGTTCAGAGATGTTATTACACACCTGGAACAGGTGGGACTTGAACCTGGATCTGCGGATCCAGGTATAGGTGACACTACCACTGCACCATAAGAGAACCCAAAATAACCAGTGATCGTTTTATTGTCACCATTACTGATACCAACTTTCACTTCCCCAAATAATATTTGAGTAATGTCAAGACTGAGTGCATTCATCTGTGGTTACGGCATCAGGCTAAGGGGACAGTCACAAGAATGTTCATATATCCTTGATGCTATGGAGGCAGTGTTATGTGACGCGCTTGATTTGCTGTGAAACAACAGGTCATCCCAAAACCTGCTGTTTCCATATTGCAAAAGGAGAGTGATTAGTACAGAGAATTGCACAAAGATAAAGAAGTCCAATCCTGATCCAGCTGTTAGAGTTAACTGATTTCCATTTCAACAAGTTACTGCATTTTCTTTTGTGTGTCATGTTGATTTTACAAGTTCATACCTGTTTTTATTTGTAGATTGAGACAACGGAATGGCTGTATTTTGTGGGAGCCCTGTGCTGGAGAGTTGTTGCACGTTCTGCGATGCAAGGTCCCTGGATTGTGGCAGAATCGCCTGGTAATCGGTGAGTTGGGTGTGGTTTGAGAAGGGGTTGTTGTCTGTTACAGTTTAAACAAGTTACAGACAAATCTGACCAGGATGTTATGAATGAATTTGCCCAGGTGTCCCACCATACCAAAGCAGTCAAATCAGTATGAACACAAGCCGACACCAAAGCAAAACAATCCCACTTTATTAGGAACAAAATTGCAATAATCTTTAATGCTAAACAAGCTATCCCTATTTCTATTTGGCCCCTGAAGGTTATAATAGTTCCCAAGTCTCTTGTAAATTTATACATTTGCTGTCTCTCTATCTGCATGGTCAGCTGGTCTGTGCCTTTTGCCATGCTTGTCTCTTCGGAAGGCTTCACGCTATTCCAGAGATCCCGAGAGTGGCTCCAGGAGAGAGATTTGCAGGTCAATCCTGTTTTTATACCTTTTAGATGGTTTTCTGGAACTTTCTATAGTTCTGGCCAATCAGGGAGGTGCACTTAATAGTTTGAAACAAGAGTCAATCATTTCAATGGCATGCCACTGTTAATTTCTTTGTGTAGCAGGACCTGGTGCCATACTGTCTGGGCTGTCCTTTGTTTAGTGGATAATTTGTTGTCTGTCCAGAATAACTGTTTTTACATTATGCTAATGTCATTAGCACCTGGCTGCTGTGTTTTCAGTCTCTGTGTGTGGGTTTTGTGTTTTCAGGGTTTTACTTGGCTATGTATCCAGCATCCCTTGCTGTTTGCCCAAGTTAGCAATCTATCTGTGCTTTAGCAGCCAGGAGGCTTCTATAATCTCTGCTTTTGAATGGAAAAAAAGCTTATGGAATGAATTTCAAACCTAATTGTAAAAGTTGGTTATGTTTGTTGTTAGGGGAGCCTACTTATTCAGGTGAAAGCCATTATGTACAGTGGTCAAGCCTATCGTATAGCTATATGTACAAAAAGATGAAAACTCCCGTTGTGATAATCCATGCACGATTGTAGTGCATAGATAACATTCAGTAATCAGAACAAATAGAAGTGACAATTGTGATAACCCTGGGAGTACCATCCACCTTATATAGCCGTTGTGTGCGTGCACAGTCTTATTCATAGTGAGCGTGCCGATGTCTTTCTTTCCCAGCCTATAATCTTAACTGCCAGGTATATCAAGGTGAGTGCAGTTTAAGTCCGCAGCTAGATGTGAGAGCATGAATTCATAGTTGACCGAGTATGGGCACAATGTCTGTTTGTTTGAGCCATCCCTATCAATTATCCCCTGTCTCTCCATAGTATATGGGAGGGTGTCATGGTAACCCATCCAAATACCTTTTTTTAAATAATTCTAGTTTTTTTGACTTCAAAGGTCCTCAACCCAACTTGTCACTTGGGATAATTGGAATCCCTAGCACCAGCGCAGTGCCTTGCCAAGAGTATCCTTGCAGGTGTCATTCTGCCACACCTTGGTGAGCTGCCAGAACTGGCAGCTAGAGATGTTGCTGTGGTTCTTGCCTGGAACAAATGTTCACATACATCACTGATCAGGACAGGACTTTCCCTTGGCTAGTCTGCCAGAGATCCTCCCTCAGCTGTTTGATCGTCCAGTTTTCATAGATGCTGCACGGGGTGTGGTTTTGCTCCTCATCGTCATCCCTGATTTTCCCCTGAATGATCTGGTTCATCTTAGTGTGTCCCTCCAGTTTGGCCACTAAGTGGTGGCTACCCTGATTCTCTGTAGTTGTCCCGTGCTGTCTTATTGATTGTCTATATTTAGACCCAACAAGTCAAATGAGCCCTATAAGGACAAGATCTTGAGTTTATTTTCCAAATTAGCCAGATCAAGGGTATTGACTGGTGACACCTCTGCCCTGTATGCTGTGGCTGGATCATTAAAGAATTCCCTTTTCTTTCATGTATTAACTGCCAGGGGGTCCCATCTACACATACCGCCAAGTCTAGTGGGTCATAATGGAATAGTTTAGGTTAGATGGGCTTCAGATTGGTTTCACAGGTCGGCGCAACATCGAGGGCTGAAGGGCCTGTACTGCGCTGTTATGTTCTATGTTCATACCACAGGTATCCTGGGTACATGGTTTTCCCTTGTGCCCACGCTACTTTTTTTTGATACAGTCATTACAATAATACATAATACACAATAAAAGCTCCGTATGGGTTTAATCTCTCTTGGAGTAGCCGCTCCAGCGCCCTTTCTTTAAAAAAAAAAGTAATTTCTGTAAATATCTTGGTTTAATATCTGATACTGTGTTCTACAAAACATTTTAAAATTGCCAAATCATTCCAATTGTCACCCATTCCGGGCCCCCGCCTTTTTTAAACAGAAACAAAAAGGACAATAGAATAAATGTGCCCCGCTTGTGGTTGACAGCTTGTGTGCTCGTGGCTGGGGACCCTTAAAGCTATTTCCATTGTGGGGTTGCCCCAGTCATCCTCAATGTATAAGCCACAGCCTGCTTTTGTTCCAGCTGTTGCTGCCAGGATGGTACCCTGGATCAAAAACAGAAGTTGCTGGACATGCTCAGCAGGTCTGGCAGCATCTGAAGAAAAAAATCAGGGTTAACGTTTTGGGTCCGGTGACCCTTCCTCAGAACTGATGGCAGCTGGGAAAATGCCAGTTTATATGCAGAAAATAGGGAGGGTGTTGGGGTAGGGAGTAAACGATAGGATGGAGCCGAAAGAGAGAGAAGAGCAGTTGGACAGACAAAGGAGTTGGTAATGATCTGCCTAGGAGGGTGAATAGTTGTTAATGGGGACTGTTAGTGACTAACAACAAGTGGAGTGTAAGGGCAGGCTATGTGATAACAAGGCCGGGTGTGTGGGGTAGCGGTTTAGGACATGGAACAGTTTAGACCCTAAAATTATTGAACTTGATGTTGAGTCCAGAGGGCTGCAGGGTCCCAAAGCAGAAAATGAGGTGTTGTTCTTCCAGCTTGCATTGGACTGCGCTGGAACACTACAGCAAGCCAGAGACAGAGATGTTGGTCAGGGAACAGGGTGGTGTATGGAAGTGGCAGGCAACAGGTAGCTCAGGGTCTTTTTTGCGAGCAGAACGTAGATGTTCTGTGAAGCGGTCATCCAGTCTACGCTTCGTTTCCCCAGTGCAGAGGAGACCACATTGTGAGCAGCGGATGCAGTAGACTAGATTCTGGGAAGTACAGGTGGAAGTGTTGCTTCACCTGGAAGGTACGTTTGGGCCCTTGAATACTGGGGAGGGAGGAGGTAAATGGGCAGGTGTTGCACCTTCTTCGGTTACAGGGGAAGGTACTGTGGGGCTGGGTGTTAGGGTGAAGGAAGTGTGGACCAGGGTGTCCTGGAGGGGAGGGGAATATGTCACACAAAATACTGATTTTAAATGGGCATCTAAGTAAAACAAAATACTCCTCAAGACTAAAATTATTCTTAGTGTACACTGGTGAATAGAAAGGGTCTTTTCCCTAGGATGGAGGAGTTCAAAATTAGGGGCCATATTTTTAAGGTGAGACGAGAAAGATTTAAAAAGGATACAAGGGGCAACTTTTTCACACAGTGAATGGTTAGTGTGTGGAATGAACTGCCAGAGGAAGTGATGGATGCTGGTACAGTCACAGCATTCAAAAGACATTTGGATAAGTACATGGATAGGAAAGGTTTAGAGGGATGTGGACCATGCACAGGCAGGTGAGATTAGTTTAGTTTGGGGAATATGGTCATTGTGGACTAGTTGGACCAAAGGCTCTGTTTCCATGCTGATGACTCTGACTATATATGTCTGGTGGTGGCGGAAATGGCATCTGATGATCTTCTGGATGTGGATGCTGGTGGGATGGTAGGTAAGAACAAGGGGAACCCTATCGCTGTTGCAGGAGGGGAGAGAAGGGGTGATGACGGAAATGCGGGAGATGGGTTGGACCTGGTTGAGGGCCCTGTTGACAACAGTGCTGGGGAATCCTTGGTTGAGGAAGAACGTGGACATTTTGGAGACTCCCATGTCGAAGTTGGCCTCATCTGAACATATATGATGAGAGACGGAGGAACTGGGAGAATGGGATGAAGTCTTTACAGGAAGCAGGTAGCTGTGGGAGTCACTGGGTTTATAGTGGATATTAGTGGCCAGTCTATCCCCAGAAATGTCGCAGAAGGGAAGGGAGGAATCAGAGACAGACCAGGTGAAAGTGAGGGCAGGGTGGAAATTGGAAGAGAAATCGATGCACTTTTCCAAATCTGGACGAGAGGGGGAAACAGCACCTATGATATCATTGATATATCGGAGAAAGTGTTGTGGGTGGGGGCCGGAATAGGACTGGAACAAGGAATTTTCCACATACTGCATGAAGAGACGGGCATAACTAGAGCCCATGCTTGTACCCATAGCCACCTCTCTGACCTGAAGAAAATGAGAGGCGTTAAAAGCTAAGTTGTTGAGGGTGAGGACGAGCTCTGAGTGGAGATGTGGTTTGCTAGAGATTGTGTATTTGTTCCTGGCACTTTGAACTATGGCCTGATGTGCATTGCAGGTTTGGACAACCTGTATGGCTGCCTGCAGTTCCCTACACAGTTCTTCCGGCTTGTTAATGCATGCTGAGGCTGCACCCCCCCGCCACCGGTCCTCAGTGGCCCACCTCTCACCAGAGCAGGCTCTTTCCAATTGTGACTGCAACTGTCCCAAACGAATCAGATTTTCCTGTATTCTGGTGTCCTGCTCTTTAACTACAAATTTTAACTTTTCCAATTCATCAGTAGTGATCTCTAATCACTCCTGCAGTGAGTCTAATGTCATCTAGTTGTCAACGGGAGTCTTTTAGGCTACGTGCTATTGCTGTGGTTATCTTAGTGGCCTTCGTTCCTAATTTATGTCTTTGTTGCCACACGTCTTGGGCTGTGGAACCTGTGGTCCAGGGGCAGGCTAGGCTGCTACAGAATTCTGTCCAGTTGGGCCACTTTTTAAAAAGGTATTGTCTTAGAGTGTCATTTCGGAAGAAGGGTTCAGACCCGAAATATCAGTTTTCCTGCTCCTCTGATGCTGCCTGGCCTGTTATGTTCATCCAGCTCTACACTGTGGTATCTATTGTCTTAGTGTCCTCCCTTATTGTACAAGGGGACACTTGTCCTGTTTTACTAACAAGCATGTTATTGCTGTGTTCTTTAGTGGATTTCTCTTAAAAGTAAATTTTCCTCAATTATTTGCAACTCAAAGTTCCTTCGACTTCTAATATGAAAACGGACTTTGCCTCAACAAGGGACAACAAGGGATCGAAATACAAACTAAACTTTCCTCTACTCATTTGAACTCAAAAGTAAACTAAAATTCAAATCCCCTCCGCTCCATCCCCATCGAACACTCCCAGGACAGGACAACAGAGGGTTAAAATAAAAGCTCCCTTGGTTTGTTCAAGGGGTCTGAAATGTCGTTTCGGTTTCCACACAAGAGGCGCACATCTGATCCCCTCTAGGCTGACTTCCTCACAGTCCCTATATACTCTTTCTCAGCTCATGCTTTGCTCACTTTGGCTATAGAACAGCTGGCTCATACTGTGCCTGTCACAGTTTAAGGTACCTTATGGCTCAATTGTGGTCACTGCTGTACCCCACTCTCCAACCAACCTAGAGGCATGTCAGGATAGAGCAGTGACCAGTGCAGCTCGTCCTCCAACCACGGAGAGAGTCAAGCCGTGAAGAGAAGTACTGACTGAACAATTTGTCAGACCAGCAAAATTAGGAGTATCTGGGAAGAATTTCAAGTTTCTAAAGAATTGTATAGTTAGCAACAGAGTTGTTAGAAGTGTAAAATTTAACTCTTAACCTTTTGTCTTCAAATAAAGTCACAACCTGGTTCACTGACTGCAGATTCGTGCTGTGTAGTCCTTTCCCGATATGTGTTAAGGTGCCTAGGTAAATTAATATTGTGTACACTGGTTGAGGAGTCTGTGGGGTTTTAGAGATACTGTTCTAGACGACACGGTGATGGATATGTATGGGACAGAAAGAAACAGTCAAGGTTCCTTACTCAGTTCAGTTATTTGCCCTCAAACTAAAACTCCAAAGCACATTACTGTCTTAATGTGGTAAAAAGTGGCATGGAGACCAATTGCATCAGCCCAACTACCACCCTCGCAGAATTCACTGAGGGGTCAGCACAGCCCTGGGGGTGAACTATCTCCTGTGTAGACCTGTGTTGGCCTGGGGCTGTACTCATCCTCTGGCCTCTTAACTGCATTGATTTGTGCAGTGCTGGGGAATGTATTCAATTGGGTTGTTATCTGAGACTGAATTTGGGGTCATTGACCTTTAAGCAATGATTGTTACATCATTGTGGTGAATTTGAATGGAAATGGAGGGAAGATTGAAGGCTTGGCAGGCAAGAGACATTAGGGGAGTTTTACTGAAGACTGTGGTATTGCAAAGTGGAGCGAGGGCAGATTAATGAAAGATACATGGAACAGGTGAAAATTGGAGAGTTTGCAATTGGATAAGGACACACGAGATGCTAAGGTCCAGCAATGATTATGGGTGGAGGAATTTACGGTGAAGGAGAACACGAGAAAAGGAATAAAGGTGTTGAGTGACTCAGTGTCATATTAGAGACAAGAAAGAAGGGTGGATAATCCAGTTAGCTTAGGAGAGTGAATACTAAACAAAGGCATATTTGAAGAAGTAAGAGGGGAGTGGAGTAACCTCAGGCCGCAAACATAGCTGAGGAGTCAAGGATGTAGCCAAAGTAGAACTGTGGTCGATTTGGCACTGAAGCAGCTTTGGTAGGGTGGGTTGTGAAAAATAGAAAGCAGAACAAGGGGAAAATGTCATCAAGACCATGGTGTCAGTGTCAGTATCTTCAGAAAGGTTGTGACTTGTAAGATCCTTGTACACAGGTGACTGGATATCACGGAATGGCAGTGACCAGTGAGTTGATTGCCTGGTAGAGCCCAAGGGAATATCGTAGGTATGGTGAAGAAATGAAGGATTTCCAAAAGATTATCCCATGGCAGTTTCTTCGGACCAGTCAAGATATCGGACCATAGGCCAGCTCTCTCATTAGAGAGAGACAACTGGTGGTGATTTAACCAGAGGGCCACCATACCTCAGGTGAGAGGAGAGGTTGAGAAGGAGAGTCCTTCATGGTAATGTCAGCTGGTGTTAGGAATTGAACACATGCTACTGGCATCACACTGCTTTGCAAACCAACTGTCCAGCCAACTAAGCTGAACCAACTCCTTTGGACTAGTAGTGGATATGAGGATGACTTAAAATTTTCCACCCCCACTGCCCTTATACTGCTGTGTAAGCTCCTTCAGAACAACTTTTCCCAAGCATTCACCCTGCTTGTAAGAGGACAGGGAGAAATGCCTCAATGAGTGTCTTTCTCTATCCATAAACACTCGACTACTCTTGCTTGTAATCCTCATTCCCTATCTTTTGGCCCTGATCCATCAGAGGAGGGATCCCCAGTCTCTCCTTCTATATTCAGGTGTTCTGTGACTCAAACATAACAACCCAACAATCGTTTGAACCAAAATATGGTGAGATATGAGTGGCTAGCTATCTCTTAGTTTGGTTTGAACATAGAACAATACAGGCCCTTCAGCGCACGATGTTGTGCTGACCTATTATCCTATTCTAAAACTAACCTGCATACCCTTCATACCCTTTGTTTGCATTCAGTGAGTCAGTCGACTTGGATGATATTCCCTTTTGCTAAGACTGTGCTTGTTTCATCCTGCAGGACCGTGTGAGCTGTACCAAGAGCCATGGAGAAGGAGGGCAGCATCCAGCTGGAGGTGCCAGATTTCAGCAGCTCGGTGCTGGCCCAGCTCAATCAACTCCGGATGCAGGGGCGGCTCTGCGACATTGTGGTCGATGTCCAGGGGAAGTCATTCCGTGCCCACAAAGCAGTGTTGGCTGCCAGTTCGCCTTACTTCCGAGACCATATGTCACTGGGTGAGATGAGTGCTGTTTCCATCTCTGTCATCAAGAGCCCTGCGGTGTTTGAGCGCCTCCTGGCCTTCTGCTATACGGGCAAGCTGTGTCTGCAGGTGGCTGATATCATCAGCTACCTGACAGCTGCCAGCTTCCTCCAGATGCAGTACATCATCGACAAATGCACGCAGATCCTTGATGGCATTCACTTCCGAATCGACGTCTCTGAAGTAGAGGCGGGGTTGAACCAGGACGCTGCCAAGCGCCCAGCCCAAACCCGCAGCATCGCTACCCCCAGTACCCGCCGTGCCAGGGCGGCCTCGGGATTCAGCCGCAGAAGCCCACTGCCGGACGAGTTGGCTAGCAGTGGGGCTGACGAGAGGCTGGTTAGAATTGACCGCGTGGGCCAGTGGTATGTGGAGACGGGGGTCAGTGGCGACCACAGCCCAGAGGCTATCCGACAAATTGGCGGGATGCGGATCAAAACAGAGACGCCAGATGAGTGGATCATGTCAGAGAACCAGCCATCCGGGGAGGATGGCAGCAGCGCAGAGGAGGTGACAGCTATGGTGATTGACAGCGCTGGGCACAGCACCTTGGTCCAGGAGGCCTTTCCCACCACTGCCTCAAGCGGCAAGATCTCAAGACCCTCCAGCAGCTTCAGTGAGATGGACAGGTACAGAGAGAGGGGTAGGGTTGTGTGCTCTGCTGTCAGCATACCCCAGTGAATAGTATATGTGCCCTGTGTACGGACATAACTGCAGAAGAGAGGAAGATAGTCATCTTGGTTTGATATCCCAATGTGCTTTTAATCAAAATCACATCAGTATCCATTCTTAAATTTTCAATTGACCACATCCTCAACTGTTATTTTGTGAAGAGGATTTCCCCTCCCCTTTGTGTGGAAAATTGTTTTCTGACATCTACTGCCCACTTGGCTCAAATTTTAAGATGCTGCTTCTTTATTCTGACCTTCCCATCAGCGGAAATCGTTGATTTGTTTTTCTCTGCCTTTTGCCAGTCCTTTAATAATTCTAATTGATATCTTTAGAATGATTTAATTAGATCTCTTTTAAACTCTGTTCAACCAATGTGTTCGCTGTTCTTAATGCCTTCACATTTGAGTTGGCAGCAATGGGTGTGACTATACTAGCAGAGTAATCTCCCAAGCCCTGTCTTCCTTTCAAACAAAACAAACTGACTAATTTGATCACAATGATCAGACTTGTGTCGCTGTTAAAATATCCATTGCTTAATAGTAAATCCTCCTTCCCAGTATATGCTTGTACTCAGCAACCTACATTGTCTTGACAATGTCTTGACATGATCTTGAATTCACAGCCTCCTGCTCAAATTCCTCCAGGGCCTCACTCATCCTGAACTCTAACCTCCGCCAACCCTCCAAGTTATCTGAGCACTCCGGTTTTGGCCTCTCAAACACACTGATTTTAAACACTGCACCAACTTCTTAGAACCCAGCTCATTAATGAAGTTTTTGGTCCGTTGTTTTTAGATCTCCTTATTTCTTAGTGTTGGATTTTGTTAAGTAGTGCTCTTTACCAATTTACTGTATTAAATGCATTATATTATCACGTAGTTGCTGCTGTTGACCCTCATCTTCACTCCCCAGTCCTATTGTATGGTAGGAAGCATTCTGTTGATCAGAAAACATTAGTTCCATGTATGAGACAGTACTGTGCCTTTTTTTGGTCTATGATATTTGATGTATCAATGAGCATAATGTATCAAGCGTTTGCATGGAATCTGTAAACATGAAAGAATCATTAGAAATGGACTTCTGTAACAATGCGTCAGGCTGACTATTCTGGAAATTGTTAAGAAGATGGGCATTTCTAGAGTATGAATCAGCTTGGCTATATGGTGAAACAGTAGTTTTACTCAGGACACACTTCAGGCTGTAAATTCCTGGACAACTAGCTTATCTCTTGTAAATAATATAATGGTTCTCCTCTAATCCTTTCATAAAAGTCCAAGTGTATTGATTCATAGAATCAGAAGTGGGCCTTTCAACCCCTTGAGCCAGTTTTGTCGTTCAGTTAGATTGTGGCTGATCCGAACATAACTCGACTTTCTTTTGGTGACTTTGAAAAACCATTGTCTCTTTCTCTGTTTTCCTGAAAACTTAAAACCAAGGCTATCTGCCCTCTTGTTCACAAGATCCTTTAACACTGTTTAGAAGAAGAACGGGCAAGTTTTCCCTAGTGTCTGGCCAAAATTTATCTCTGAACCACCACCACCACCACCATTTAAAAACAGACCATCTGGTTATCTACTTTCTGTTTATAGACAGGCTGCTAATTTTTAACTCTACTTCAATATTTGATTACACATGGGCTTTAGGGGTTCTGAGGTTGTGAAAAGTATTTTATAATTTTTTACTGAATCTTTCTTTCTTTGTAGCCATTGATGACCTCTCAGATTCCCTGCAGTCATCCTTGTCCGATCACCAGAGGTCCTTGAAAGAAAAACTACCTATCGCTGAATTTGAAGATTTTGTGTTCCCCTGGTCCAGTCATACATTCCCTTGTTGCACAATTGGGTTTCCTCTGATTCCTGACATGTTAGTGTCTGCATCACTGCCACATATTGAAACACAGAAAACCAGCATGTAGGTGCAGCAGGGAATCAAGAAAGCTAATGGAATGTTGGTCCTTATTTCAAGGGGGTTGGAATATAAGAATAGGGGAGTGTCACTGTAACTGTAGAAGGTGCTGGTGAGACATCATCTGGAGTACTGTCAGCAGATTTTAAAGGAAAGATATGATTTCATTGGAGCAGTTCTAAAGAAGGTTCACTAGGATAATCTCTCTTCTGGAGGGATTGTCTTATGAACAAAGGCTAAACAGGTTGGGACTCTCATCATTGGAGTTTGAAAGAATGAGGGGTGATCTCATGAAATATAAAGGCATCTTAAGGGGCTTGACAGGGTAAATGCTGAGAGGATGTTTCCTCTCATGGGAGAGTCTAGGACCAGAGGGCATAATCTCAAAATAAAGATGTGCCAATTTAAGACTGAGATGAGGAAGAATTTCTTCTGAGTGTTGAGAGTCTTTGGAACTCCTTGCCACAGAGAGCAGAGTCCTTGTGTATGTTTAAAGCTGAGATAAATGGATTCTTGATCAGTAGAGGAATTGAGGGTTATGGGGAAAAGGCAGTAAAGGACGTAAGGAAGGTTGGATCAGCCATGATCTTTTTGAATGATCAAGCTAGCTCGAGAGGCCGAATGGCCTACTCCTGATTCTGAATCTTATGATCTTATAGTCTAATCCCTGTATGTAAAAGAAAGAAATTCTCTTGCTAACTTTGGTCCTCCTAATAACCAATCTATTGATTGCTTCATCAGTTCACCCTGAATCTGGTTTCCAAAAGCTGAGGTCTTTGTTGCCCTGTCCTCCTCTGTGATGAGTCTGATGTCATGCTCAGTTTAGATCACTGTTTTCAGCTGGATATTATAGGTTTCCCTGATCTTAACAATTTCTTAGGAGCAGACATTAAGGCAACAGATGTGATTTTGGTGCAGCAAGATGGAGGGATATGGGTCAAATGCTGGCAAATGGGATTAGATTAATTTAGGATATCTGATCAGCTTGGATGAATTGGACTGAAGTGTCTGATTCCATGCTGTACATCTGTACAATTCTATGATTCAGGTAAATTATTGAACAAAAATACTTTAACTATAGATGATAGTGGACAAAGTACTGTTGATCCGTGGTCTTTGAAGCTGGCTTTGGTTCCCTTTGATCTCTTCTCTGGCTGCTCCTCCTGTTATGTGTATCTTGAGGTTCTCCCTTTTATACCCTCCTACGACTGCTCACCTGCAATAGTTCACCTTACTCATATAGGCTGCCTAACTGACCCATTGCCTGATCTAATGCTAGAATCACTGATGCTATTTTCATTTGCTGACCATGTGACATTGAGGTCTACTTTTGGCATTCAAGTAACAGTTTTCTGGAAAACATGCTTTTTTTCCATATTGTAGCTCCCTTGTTGCTGTAAACAATCAGTCATTCTACCAATCAGAGCTTTTCCATTTTAACAATGCAAACTGTATGTTAATCAGAACATCTTCCTAACAGAATTAACAGTTTTGCCATTTCTCAATGTCACATAACCAACTAGAATTTATCCAAATTTCTCCTCACTTGCTCAGCTTGTGAAAAATCAGCTTATAACATTTAACGAGTAGGTATCTTTCTCCCTTCTGATTCCTGGAAGGTTGAAATCCCTCATGACCATATTCATTCATGAGGTTGTAGACATGCTCGCTGAGCTGGTGGGTTTGGTTGCAGATGTTTCATGACCCTGCACATCGTCATTGCACCTCTGGTGAAACATTGGTATTCTATCCTTCTTATTATCTGTATGCTTCTGTTTGCTGGGGTGGTTGGAATTACCTCCGGTTCTGTTTTTCAGTGATTTTTATATCGGGTCCAGTTCAATGTGTTTGTTGAATGGAGTTCTGGTTAGAATGCCAGGCCTCCAGGAATTCCCTGGCATGTCTCTGTTTGGCTTGTGCCATTATTGGTTTTCTTTGTCCGTGTGTATTGAGACCTGTCTGACAAAGAGTCGAATTTGTATCCTTCTTTGTCTGTGTGTGTTGAGACCTGAGGCATATGGATAACAGGCGGGACAACGCCAATGCTTCACCGGAGGCGCGGTGATGAAATGTCTGCAACCATACATACCAGCTTGGCGAGCATGTCTACAACCTCATCCACAACCTGAGTTACAAATATTCTCGGAAACTTTAAACATATTCATTCATGTCCAATACACATTATTAATCAATGAATTGACAGTGTTGTTCTGACTAAACATCCCTTACTATCCCCTATCTTCACCCATAGTACAGCTTCCTTTACCTTCATGCTGTTTGCATAACATCCATCCAAAGTATTCACCACCCATGCATTTCAATCAGTGCACTGTCTTATAATGGTGTAGTGTCAAACTCACTCATGACAACTTGCATTCATATAGTTCTGAGGAAGGGTCACCATGACCTGAAATGTTAGCACTGACTTCTCTGCACAGATGCTGCCAGACCTGCTGAGCTTTTCCAGCAATTTCTGTTTTTGTTTCTGATTCACAGCATTCAAGTTCTATTTTCGGTTTTTGCATTTGTATAACTGCTTTATTTAAATTTAAAATTTCTAGAGGAGTATAAACAAAAAATTTGACACTAGCTATGTAAGGTCAGGTTAGGCCAGATGACCAAAACATGGGTCTTGAAGGTTGGAAGTGAGTTAGAGGTTTGCAGAGAGAATTTCAGAGCTCTGAGTCCAAGTAGCTGGAAGCAGACCAGTGATGGTGATGGTGATTTTAAAATCTAGGCATTGCTGGATCAGGAGCCAGTGTGGGTCATTGAGCATAGGGATGGTGACTGAATGGGTTTGATGTGTGTTAGAAATGGGCTGTAGATTTTTGGATGAGCTCAGATTTACGGTGGGTGAAAATTAGGCTGATAACTAGGATATGGAATGGTTGAACATAGTCATGTTTAATGCTGGTAGGAATTTCAGATGGCAATGACTTATGACTTTGATTTAGCACTTGGGTCACCATAATGACACCTAATTGCTGGACAACCTAGGTATCTTGCAGGTTCACTGACTTCAGTGCTTTTTGTGTTCTTCTCAAATGTCTGAATAACAGCTTGGGAAGGAGGAAAAAGGATCCCTTTCACAAAAAGCACTTGTTCACTAAAATAAATCAAAAATGCAAATGTACTATTTTCAGTAATCAAATCAACCCTGCCACTTGAGTTGCAGTAATACTTTTATAGAAGAGTTGAATAAACAACTTAGAAAGTTTAGAGATAGCAAGAACAGCAGATGCTGGAGTCAGAGACAATAGTGTGGAGTTGGAGGAACACAGGTCAGGCAGCATCAGAGGAGCAGGAAAGTCGACGTTTCGGGTTTACACCCTTCATCAGGACTCGGGGGTGGAGGGAGGGGAGTGGGGCTGGGGGAAGATAGGTGGGATGGTGATTGGTGGATGCAGGTGGGGGTGGGGGGTGTTGGTTAGTGGGAAGGGTGGGGCGAATAGGTGAAAAAGAAGATGGACAGGTTGTGTCAGGTCGAGAAGGCAGGGATGAGAGAGAGGGTTGGACAAGAGATGAGGCCGGGGGGTGGGGAGATTTTGAAACTAGTGAATTCTACATTGAGGCCATCGGACTGTAACCTCCTGAGGTAGAATATGAGGTGTTCCTCCGGTTTACGTGCAACATCGTTGTAACACTGGAGGACGCCCAGGATGGACATGTCATCCGGGGAGTGGGAGGGGTAGTTAAAATGGTTAGTGACTGGAAGGTGCAGTTGAATATCACGTATAGAGCGCAGAAGCTCCACAAAATGGTCCCTGAGTCTACGCTTGGTCTCGCCAATGTAGAGGAGGCCACATTAGGAGCAACGGATACAGTAGACCAGGTTGGAGGACGTACAGGTGAATCCTTGTCGGATACTGAAAGACTGTTAGGGGCCTTGAACGGAGATGAGAGGTGAGATGTAGGGGCAGGTGTAACAGCACCTGCGGGTTCAGGGAAAGGTTCTGGGTGTGGTGGGATTAGTGGGGAGTGTGGAGCGGATGAGGGAATCATGGAGTGAGCAGTCCCTACGGAAGGCAGATAGGGCTGGGGGGGGAATATCTCTTTGGCGGTGGAATTATGATGTGCTGGATGTGGAGCTTGGTGGAGTAGTATGTGAGGACCGGGGGACTCTGTCCTTATTTTTGTTGCGGGGAGGGAGTTTGAGGGCAGAAGTGCAGGAAACGCAAGAGATGCGGTTGAGGGCATTTTGAATCACCGGAGCGGGTAAGTTATGGTCCTTGAAGTAGGAGGTAAGTTATGGTCCTTGAAGTAGGAGGACATCTGGGATGTCCAGGAGTAGAATGCTGCATTTTAGGAGTAGGTGCAGCAGAGGAGTTGGGAGTATGGGATCACATTCTTGCAAGAGGGTGGGTGAGAGGAGGTGTAGTCAAGGTAGGTGTGAGAGTCGGTGGGTTTGAAATAGATGTTGGTGAGACGGTTACTGGAGATGGAGAGGTCCAGGAAAGGGAGGGAGGTGTCGTAGATGGTCCAGATGAATTTGAGGTTGGGGTGAAAGATGTTAGTGAAGTTTGCTAGCCTAGGACAACGGGAAACTCCTTGTACCCTTAAATCCATCAAATGTGCCTCTCTCATTAACATAATAATAGTCCTAATGAAGGGATGTTTGTAGTCTGTTGTGTGCCACTGAATGTGGTGTCCATTGCAGTCCAGTAGGCATTGGATATTTCAAGCCTCTATTAAAGGGGCAATAAAAAGTATCCTGGTTAATAACCAGAACAGTCTGATATCTGTGGGACATGTGTGTTGAGGAGCCTGGAATAATTCACCTGGGGGAGGAGCAGCCAAGTAATCTGGAGATCCATTGTTTGTGGCCCTGTTCAAATGTTGTTCAAAAACACTCATTTCATAAAGAATTTTGCTAAAATTCCCAGGAGGCAATGATAATTATTTTTACGCAATGGGTCAAGATAATCTGATGGAAACAGATGGATAACAACTTTGAAAAGGAGATTGGAAAAATCTGCAGGTTGGGAAAGGTCAGAGCAGTAATAAAGGACAAGGCACTAGGACTAAGTGAATAGCTCTCCAAAGGGGAGCGCTGACACAATATGACAAATGGCCGCCTCCTGTGCTGTTCCATTATGTTTTCCTGTCCCCTCTGCAGTGCAATGGAGCTGATGTGAAAGTGATTACAATCTACAGCTACAAGTAGGTCTACCACAATGTTGTTGTTCATACAAGTTGAAGAATAGTAGGATGCACTCCTGCTAACTTTCAATCTTGAACAAATTCTGAGTGAAGCGAGAATCATGTAAAAGAGGTGGTCTCTGTCTAACTAAGCTTGGGTCTGCCAATCAATCCACTACTGATGTGGGTAAAGCATTGCAATTACAGGTTGCAATTGATTGGAGCACAGGAAGTGAAATCTAGCCTCTCTATAACAATATTTGGTACAATTATGTGAAACTGTACATCACAATTTGCTGTGAGAAATGGCTCAGGACATCACGATTACTAGTTAATCACTATAGTAAAACATTTGCCTGATTCTGTTTAACCCCTTCTTACTGGCTACAGCACCATTCCTCACTTAAGAATATGCTTTCACTGGTTTGCCAACATGCGTCTGTCTTTTGTCTCAATGTCCTGTCCTTGCACAGCACTTTCCAATGTTGGCTGATATTGACTAAACTGTTCCATTATTGATGTGTTTGCTAACCAGGTTTAGCCCATCTGGCAGTGTTGTTTGCACCGTGCCCGAGCGCCACAGAGCAAGGAGTGAGTCTCCAGGCAAAAATGAGGAACGGAAACAGCCGAACTCTCAGGTAACACTGCCTGTGGTAGTGAAACACTCCTGTTTGTCTCAATATAATAAACTGCATCCATCCTACCGTCAAGTGTTTTATTTTGTTCCAGAATTTCTTTCTCCCAGCTATGGATGGGACTTGCTCAAAATTGTAACACAGTCCCACTGATGTTGGGTTGGAGACAAACTGCAGCGGGTTACAATATCTGATGGAAATATGATCCTTATTGATTTACCTGAACCCTAACCACATTGTGCTGTGGGTGTGTCCAATTCCGGTTGCAACAGGTGCTATGTTTTATGAACTGCTTGATGACAAAAGGGTCCAGATAATTTACCCTCTACCACTCTGACATTGAATAACATGCTTAAATATAAAAATAATGGAACAAAAGCAGAAGTTGCTGGAAAAATTCAGCAAGTCTGGCAGCATCTGTGAAGAAAAAGCCAGGGTTAACTGGAGTTCTGAGGAAGGATCACTGGACCTGAAATGTTAACTATGATCTTTTCTTCACAGGTGCTGCCAGACCTGCTGAGCTTTACCAGCAACTTCTGTTTTTGTTTCTGATTTACAGCATCCACAGTTCTTTTGGTTTTTATAATAATAATGGAGCTTTGCTAAATCAAGAAAGTTTTACAAAAACTTTTCATCTTGCACTCGTCAGGACATAGGCAAGAATACCAAATTGCAAGTCTCAAATGTGGTATTCCTGTGTCATGTTCTAATCAGTGTAAGACGAAAAGCTTCAACAACAATCAAATTCTGTACTGTTGGGAGTTGATTAATAATTAAATCATTAACTAAATAGCAATGAAACATTATTAACTAAACAGCAATGAATCTCTCAATCGGTCTACAATACACCCAGATACTTGGAGAGCTTTGGGAACCATGGATTTATTCACCTGTTCCTCTCCACCACCAACCACATGCCATTTCCTGGATTATTTGAGATCTGGAACCCAATGTTTTCTGAAAGAAATCTGTGTTTGAAGAAATCAACACAAACTGCTTCCATCACGGGAGGCTGTTCCACTGAATGAATACTCACTGAAATAATGAGAATATTTAGAGGCAGCCCAATAGAATATGGGAAAGTTGTGGGGACGATATGGACTCATTTGCAGGACAGTTTGGGTGATAAGCTGTGAGGGAGAATGCCTCTATATATTGTAACTGCATGATATGGGAGCTGGTGGACCCCATTGTGGTTCATAGTGACCACATCTGTAGCAAGTGTTAGTTGCTTGAGGAACTCTGGCTCACAGTTGATGAGCTTGAGTCTGAGCTTTGAACACTCCCACACATCAGGAACGGGGAAGAGTTAGCTGGACACTGTTTCAGCAGGCAGTCACACCCCTTTCATTAACTACCTTGAATTTGGTCAGGGATAGGTGGGTGTGACTACAAGCGAGGCAGATAGAGGCTTCCATGAAGACTTGCTGAAGGAGCCTCAGCCCTTGAGCTTGTTTAACAGGTTTGAGATTCTTGCTCCCCGAGTGGGGGCTGTAGGGAGGATGAGCAAACTGACCGTAGAACCGTGGTACAAGGAGCCATTCAAGAAGGGGTAGAAAAGAGAAATGTAGCTGTAATTGGGATGGTATAATAAGGGGAATAGATACTGTTCTCTGCGGCCAGGATCAAGAGTCCCAGAGGCTGTGTTGCATGCCTGGTGCCCAGGTTAAGAATATCTCATCTGGGCTGCAGCGGAACTTGGAGTAGGAGGGAGTAGATCCAGTTGTCGTGGTCCACATAGATAGCAAATATATAGGTGGAAAGAGGTTCTACTCGGGGAATATGAGCAGCCAGGGCCTAAATTGAAAAGCAGAACTGAAAAGATGATAATGAGATTACTACCTGAGCCACAAGCAAATTGGCGTAGGTCAAAAAGATTGAAGAGGTAAATGTGGCTCAGCAATTGGTGTGGGAGAAATAGGTTTGAATTCCCGGACATCAGAACCAGTACTGGGGAAGGGGGGAGCTGTTCCGATGGAATTGGCTCCATTTGAATCATGCTGGGTGGGGAGGGCTCAGCAGAGGTTATTAAAGTTTCCAGAACAAGGAATAGGACAGAAAGTATGGAATTGGTCAGGAATCTAACTTCAGAAGCAGCAGATAAGGGGACAATCAATGTCGGACTGAGGCTATTGCCTTCAATGCGCGCAGAATATAAAACAAGGTGAATGAGCTTGTAGTGCAGATTAAAATTAGCAGGTACGATGTTGTGGGTATCACAGATGTGGCTGGAAGGGGATCAGGGCTGCGAACTAAATGTCTAAGGATACAAGTTCTATCGAAAGAACAGGCAGATGGGCAAAGGGTTGCCTTGTGAGTAAGAAATGAAATAAATCAATAGCAAGAAATGGTAAAATCTGTGTGGGTAGAGTTGAGGAACTGCAAAGGAAAAAAGACCCTGATAGGAGCTATGTACAGGCCTCCTAGCAGTAGTCAGGATATGAGGAAGAAAATAAATCAGGAAATAGAAAAGGATGTATGAAAGGCACTATTACAATAATCAAGGGGGACTTCAATACGCAGACAGGAAAAATCAGGTTGGTAGCAGATCTCAAGAAAAGGAATTTGAGGAATGTCTACGAACTGGGTTTTTTGGAGCAGCTTATGGTAGAGCCCACTAGGGAACAGACAGTTTCGGATTTGGTGATGCCTAATGATGTAGGCTTGGTTATGGAGTTAAAGTGAAGGAACCTCTAGTGGGCAGTAACCATACTGTGATAAAATTCACCCATACAGTTTGAGGAGGACAACCTAGAATCAGACGTAACGGTATTACAATTGAGTTAAGGTAACTACAAAGACACAATCGAGGAGCTGGCCAGAGTTGATTGGAACGGGAGTCTGGAAGCAGCAATGACAGAATTTCTGGTGGGGCATTTGGGAGGCACAGCCAAAATTCACCTCCAGGATAAAGAAACACAAGGGGAACATGAGGCAACCATGGCTGATAAGGGAAGTCAGAGACAGAATAAAAGAAAAGACATACAATGTGGTGAAGATAATTGGGAAGCCTTTTAAAAACCAGCATAGAATAACTGAAAAAGCAATGAGGGGAGAAGATGAAATATGAGGGTAAGCTAGCTAGTAATATAAAAGAAGATCGCAAGTGCTTGTTTTTTTAGATGTGAGAGAGAGGCAAGAGTGGCAGGTGGACTGCTGGAAAGTTAGGTTGGAGAAATGATAATAGGGGAACAAAGAAATGACAGTGAGAAACACCAGCACCATACCAGCTCTTTGAGAGTCAGGAGGCAGAGGTGAGTGTAGTGACCATCGCTAAGGAAAAGGTGTTGGGGAAGCTGAAAGGTCTGAATATATCACCCGGACCAGATGGACTAAACCCCAGAGTTCTGAAGGAGATAGCTGAGGAATTGTAAAAGCATTGGTGATCTTCACAAATCACTGAAGTCAGGGAGGGTCCCGTAGGACTGGAAAATGGCTAACGCAACACTCCCTATTTAAAAAGGGAGGGTGGCAGAAGACCGGAAACTACAATCCAATTAGCTTGACCTTGATCGTTGGTAAGATTTTAGAGTCCATTATTAAGGATGAGATTGCAGAATACTTGGAATTGTGTGGTAAAATAGAGCTGAGTCAGCATGGCTTCGTCAAGAGGGGGTCATGCCTGACAAACTTGTTAGAATTCTTTGAGGAGGTAATGAGCAAGTTAGACAAAGGAGAGCCAGTGGGCCTGATCTGTTTGAATTTCCAGAAGGCCTTTGCCAAGGTGCCATGCAGGTGGCTGCTAAATAAGATAAGAGCTGATGGTGTTGGGGGCAAGGTACTGGTACGGATAGAGGACTGGACTATCGGCAGAAGGCAGGGTGTGGGGATAAATGAGTCTTTTTTAGGATTGCAGCCGATGATTAGTGGAGTTCCACAAGGATGAGTGTTGGGATCACAACTTTTCACAACCCACAGTTTGAGAACATCGCTGGCTAAGCCAGCAATTATTGCCCATCCCTAATTGCCCACAGGACAGTTAAAGTCAAACACATCGCTATTCACACTTATACATTAATGATCTGGATGAAGGAACTGAGAGCATTGTTGTTAAGTTTGCAGATGACACAAAGATAAATCAAGGGTCAGGGAGGCTGCAGAAGGACTTGAACAAGCTATGAGAGTGGGCAAAGAAGTGGCTGATGGAATATAATGTGGGAACGTGTGAGGTTATGCACTTTGGTTGGTAGAATAAAGGTGTAGACCATTTTCTAATTAGGGAACGGCTTTAGAAATCTGAAGCACAAAGAAACTTGGGAGCCCTAGTTCAGGATTCTCTTAAGATTACCATGCAGGTTCAGTTGGCAGTTAATAAGGCGAATGCAATGTTGACATTCATTTCAACAGGGCCAGAGAACATCAGCAGAGATGTATTGCTGAGGCTGTATAACGGTCAGACTGCATTCAAAATCTTGAGCAGTTTTGGGCTGTGTACCTAAGGAAGAATGTTTGCTGTCATTAGTGGGTCCAGAGGAGGTTTACAGCGTGCGGGATCTAGTTGAAACTTCGGATACTTAGAGGCCTGGATAGAGTGGAGTTGGAGAAGATCTTTTTACTAGTAAGACCGCCTAGGACCCAAGGACAAATGCTCGAGTGATGGGGTAACCTGTTAGCTGCAGAGGGATATGGAGGCCAAGTCATTGGGTATGTTTAAGGTAGAGATAGGTTCTTGATTAGTAAGGAAATCCAGGATCATAAGGAGAAGGCAGAAGAATGGGGTTAAGAAACATGAGCCAAATGGTGGAGCAGACTCGATGGCTGAATGGCCTAATTCTGCTTTAATATCTTATGGTCTGTCCGTCTTGGCACAGGGGTTGACTGTCCTCACCCTGCAGCTTCCAGCCTCAACCATGTTGAATCTGTTGATTGTTGGAGGCTGGTTGGCTCCTCACCCCAGCCCTGACTCAGTACAACCTAGACATCAGCAGCTTGGTGAAAACAATTCCATTAAGACACCATGGTCCACACCCCACACGTAAACATCCACACCCATTAACACACGAACAATCCTTTCCTACCCTTGTGCCACTGGATCAGTAATCCATATGCTAATGTTTTAAGGTTGAGTTCAAATCCATCATAGCAGCCAGTGAAACTTAAATCATAATTCTAGATTGAAATGAACAACTCTGAGGTAACATATTATTCAATAAGGGAAGGAAATCTGCTGTTCTTAACCAGTCTGGCCCGCATGTGACTCCATACCCACAACACAGTTGACTCCTAAACGCCTCCTGAAATGGTCAAGCAAGCTACTCAATTCAAGGGTGATTCCAGATGGTCAGTAAGTGTTGACCATGCCAGTTACACCTACATCCTAGGAAAGAACGAAGAGAAACATCCGTTGTTAAAGTTGAATTTATTCCTCCTACACTGAGATGACCAGGACTGTGCGTGGGGTTGTAAATGCTGTATTACTGATTTTATAATGTGCTATGATGATCTTACTATTTCAACTCTGTATCAAGCTTGTGTGTATCTCAACATTTTAATCTCTTCCTCCCTGCCATCAACCATTGCTGCAACAGTTTCAATTTATTGTAATTCTAGAACAACCCACCACCACCAAATTTCCCTAGAAATTGTATTGTTTACATAGTAATTCCTTCTTAGATTTCTTTATGCCAAATGGCCTTGTTCTGTACCGTCATTTTTTTTCTATGTTTCATGTGAAGCATTTTCTATTTATTTATACTGAATTTCATGTGACACTCAATTCCACCAGAAGCTTATCTTTTCAGCTGTGATGTTTGCCACCTTCATTATTACTTAGGTGCTGTGTTTATGTTTCTGCTGCCAATATTGAATCTGTGTAAAATTGAGACAAATGTGCATGAACAACTCAGCAGCACACAAGTTGCCTTGCCTCCTTAGTAGCTGTCAGCTACCCTTGGGGGTGCTTAAGTTTGGAAGAAGCTGACTGTACATTAGCACAATACAGTAGTGCACTCTTCATTGTTTTCAGTACAATGTTCAGCTTTCAGCTGCTCTCTCCTCCCTCAGCCTACCCAAATATCACTGCTGGACAAATTAGAATTTATTGTCGGTACAATGACCGGCATGTAATTGAATTTTTTTTAAACTGACATCCAAAATAAGTAATTGTACCATTATCTGAACCAAATATTTATCTTTATCCTTAATACCTGTTGTATATTAACACTTTGGGCTTTCCTATGCACTGGACCTACAGAATACTTACTCTTCTAATCTGTGTTATGCTATAGTTTCTGCTAGTGGACGTTTGAACAGATTTTTTGTTTTATAATCTTTCACTGTCCTGATGTACTTGTTAACATGCTAAAGTTTAACAACTTGATCAGAATAAATCACCTAATACAGAATACATATTGGCCACTATCTCTCATCACTTTTGAAAGCGGAGAATAATCAAACATTAGACCAAATGCCTACAGGCTAAATTACTTGGTAGGTCTTATTTACAGATAATATCATATACAGAAGCTAAGGTACAGCAAATAACTGAATCTTGAGTCTCCTTTCGGTAAGTTCCGAAGTTGGAATCCCCAGCAGCAAGGTATCTGGGTTGAATTTGTTTTTATTTTTTAAACCCTTTCTCTTTATGGACTAATTATCTATTTTCCAAAAAACAACTTTGCCCTATAGTATGAAAGTGGAACTATGTATGTAAAAAGAGCAAACTCAAAATGGGACTGGCTAGCTACATAGTAATAAGAACAAAAAATTGTATGTGTCTGCATTAATCAGGGCATAGGGATCACAACAAACTGCATTGAGAGTAACAGTCATCAGAATGATCTTCTGTATTGTTGCTCTTTACATCAATAAGGAAGAGAAAGCACCTTGAGGAATTCATTGGCTATAAACTGCTTTGGGATGCATTGAGGTTGTGAAATGTGAAGTTTTCTTAAAAGAAAGCTGAAGATTACAAATACAAGACATCATTCTAACACCTGCAAATTCAGGATAGACTGATTTAACACTTTCCTTACACTTGCCATTCTGTTGCTGTCGGCTTCTGATTTAATGTTGTTTTCACTTACAGGCAGATGAGACTCCCCTTTTCGGTGTCAGTGGCTATGAAGAGTACCTCCGGGACCAAGAAGTGGCCGAGCGCTGGTACCGCTACAACCCTCGGCTGACGTGCCTGTACTGCGGCAAGTCCTTTAACCAGAAGGGAAGCCTGGACCGCCACATGCGGTTGCACATGGGCATAACACCCTTTGTATGCCGAATCTGCGGGAAAAAGTACACCCGCAAGGACCAGTTGGAATATCACATCCGCAAGCACACCGGGAACAAGCCCTTCCACTGCCACGTCTGCGGCAAGAGCTTTCCCTTCCAGGCCATTTTAAATCAGCACTTCAAAAAGAACCACCCGGGCTGCACGCTGCTGGAAGGGCTACACAGTATTTCACCAGAGACCACTTCCAAGGGACAGAATGGGGAAGAATCGCCACCTCGGGATGAGGCGAAAACTATTGGTGAACTGATTCATACTTCCGTCTCAACTACTGGGCCAGACTGAATGTGCACTGGGGAGATATCTATTTGTCTGTAGCACCCCAGGGGGCTGCTTTTAATTTAGTGTGGACTGTTTCATTTGAGTTTAGAACTGCTTATGTAAAGGGTTTTTTTCCACAGGAAAAGAACATTTGTTGTTGCACTGCTCCAAGTTGCATGCAACCATTGCTTCTTTACCCTTATGACTTTCCCCCACCTTATGAAGATAACAGAGCAGAAAGTGATTGGACTGTTGGTGCACTGGGAGGGGGTGGAAAACAGGGAAGAGAGGTGTGTCATTCTCTGGGTCTTTTAAGATCGGGTAGCTGATGTTGAACAATTAGATCCAACAGAGAGCATCTTCCTGCTCGAGTCTTCAAGGGTCCCACCAAGCACCTCACTGTGTGTCACACCCTGGGCCTGTTTTTTCACCTATCCTGGAACAGCCCAGGAAACTGTTCTGTAAGATCCAATGTCACTTCCCCATACTGTTGAAGGAACTTGTTCGTAGCTGTCAACATTTGGAAGGAACAGAAACAAAACCAGTGCACCTTCTCCCAGGAAGGTGAGAGTATTTGAGGGGGTGGGAAATGATTGGGTGAAGAAAAGGGACTAGAGTGGACCTGCTTAGGCAGATTCTTCAATGATGGAGTACCTGTGCTGTGAATGGAAATCCCTGTGATTCTGTACATTTCTGTAAACGAATGACAAAAAGTGTTTTTAACTATAGATAATATGTAAAAGAAATATGGATACTCCAAAGGAATGTGTGTGGCCAGGTTTGACAGTAGATTTATAGTTGAGTGGATTTGTGTGTAGTGTTCGAGTTGTATGTGTGTTTTTCGACCTGGAATATCTCATTATAATGACTGAAGAGCAGTTTTTCTAATATACCTCTTTTAGACCGTCCAATGAAGCATTTTTGCATGGGTTTGTGAAGCCTTTTTTTAAAAAATTATAAATGGATTGGGGAAATGTACAGAACACAGAATATTCCATAATTTATAGCATTCTTGGAATAAACTAATTAAGTCACCGACTCTTTGATTTTGGTGCAGAAATACTTCTGCAAAGTGGGATAGTTCAGGGAAATTTGCGGGGGTGGGGTGGGGGGTACGGCACAGACTGGGTTTGGGATGATTTCACTGACTCCCTGACTAGATGTTTTCCACTGTGGCACACTGACTGATAGGACAGCTTCTCTCGCTTTCACTCTGCTCCTTCCAAACTTGTTTCCCTCTCATTTAACACTTAGTGACCCACAAATGCTTTGAAATTAATGCATTAACACAAAACTGGTGGTGAGGGACACCTGGATGATTATTGACAGTGTTGGAAACAAACCATTTCTTATGAGGAATTCAGAGCAAAGGGCACAGTAAAATTAGAGAGGCTGTTCAGGAGTGATTTGACACTAAAGGTACTAGAATTCTGGAACTAAGTTTCATAAATAGCTGTTGAGGTTGGAGCCAATTGAAAATTTCAAACCTGAGGTTGTTGGATTTTTTTCCTTGGGTAAAGTCATCAACAGTAAGAACCAGGGTGTATAGATAGAATTAAGGTGACAAGTCAGCTGTGATCTCATTGAATAGCAGCATTGGCTCAAGGGGCTGGCTGAACTGTATCCTCTTGTTTCAAAGGCTACTGATAATCAATATTTGGTGAGGGAAATATCACAACAAAACAAGGCTTGAAAAGTTTCATAAGTCAGAGCTGTGCTAGTCACATGATTGAACCAATATCTTAGCTTTTTATGCACTGTAACCTATCCAGTCTGAAAGTCTGTTCAGGGACAATTGTGTGGAATTTTTTAAAGCAGTCACAAGCATTCTGTCCGATTTGGTTGGAAACAATATTTTGATGATATAAAACAATTACTTTATAATGTAATTTATCACCATTGAATGTATCTGATAAATGTTTATATGCACAGTGTTCTCTGGTTCACTTGCTTCTGGTGTTAAGCATTTTAACACCTGTCCACAATCCAGAAAATTCTGAAATCCAGAAATGACTTGATGGCATTTATTCTGGACTGCAGAGGTTACAGTGTGTTTAAATTATATTGAACCCAGCCAGGACAAACACAGGAATGAGATGATGAATCGTTCATTGAGATGATTACAGTGATTAGGCAGCGTCAAGGTAGAAAGGAATCTTAAATTGACGGAAGTCCTCAGAACAAATAGGTTAGAGACAACAAGATGCAGAGCTGGATGAACACAGCAGGCCAAGCAGCAGCATAGGAGCAGTAAGGCTGACGTTTCAGGCCTGATCCTTCATCAGAAATTAATAGTCAGTGCAATATTGAGATCAATAGAGTTTATTACACAGGTTAGAGGAAGATTGGACATTGTCTTTTAACCTAGCAGAGAGAGGGAAGGTGTACAAAGATGTTCCATCAAAGCAATTAGTTCTGCCTAACTAATTTTTATAAGCAGGTACTTTCAATTACATTTACCCATCTGATTCCCTCCAATACTATTGATGCAGTTTCTACCTCATCACTAACCCTAGCAGTGAATTCCACACCCTCATTTGTTATTGAGTAAAAAAGAACGTTATCATGTCCTTTGTCTAAATCTCACTTAATCTTGTATCTGTACCTCCTTTGCTCATGACTCCTCAACTACTATAAATTATATCCTTCTTCTAAATTTAAATAGTCCATATTCGTCATGATTTTAACAAGAAAAACTCAATTTTACGATGAAGAAGGGTCCTGACCCAAAACGTCAGCTTTCCTGCTTCTCTGCTGCCTGGCCTGCTGTGTTATCTCAGATTCCAGTATCAGCAGTTCTTACTATCTCAATTTTACAAGTTAGTCTTCATGTTTCCTCTCACTAGTTCAAGTTCCCTAGGGAATCTGCACTGTATCCTCTCCAAAGCTGTAATATCCTTCTTGCTGTGTACAGCTCAATGTGCAGGCTGAACTCTTGACGCTTTATCCCTTGGCTCATTTTTTTTTTTAAATATATCTCAAGGTAAAACAGAATAGAATTACATTTTTTGAAACTTTATCCACTTTCAATGTTGCACTTAATGTTTTGTGATGTGTAAAAGACTACTCTCCAGAGCTCCATGTGTATTTCCAATCAGTATAATTACTGCTACTAACTGTACCAAAATGCATCACCCCATACTTGCAGTTAGTTTCATCTGCCTCTTTTTAGGCCATTCTCTCAATCTGGTGGTTTCCTTTAGTCTTCTAAAGAATCAAGTATTCCCCTCCTGTTTTGGTTTATCTGCATATTTCAATACTAGCCTCTTTAAGGTTGATGTTGAAATCATTGATGGATGCAATGTGCATGAGTAACCCAGAGCAGAAACCTGTTGGACACTACTATTCTGCTTTTTATGAATAACGTTGCCTCTGCTCTCACCAGTTTTAATCTAGTTTGCCATTTCCCCAACTCCCCCAATTTCATACCCATTTATCTGCTGTCAAGTTCTCAAGTGATACCTTTTGTGAGAGGTTTTTCTTGAGTGCGTGTGGGAAAAAAAAAATCCACTTTGTCATCTACCAACTTTGTTAGCTGCTCAAAGCACTGAGGTTCGTCTAGCCTGATTTGCTCCCTTTTGAAATCTGTTCTGATTGCTTCAAACTGTTTTATATTTAACCAGGTATGCAGCAGTTTGTTATTTGAAGACGGCCTGCTGCAGATGTTAATTGGCCTGTAATTCCCAGATTAGCACTGACTCATTCTCTATACCTCTGGAAAATGCTTTCACTCAGTGCAGTCCTGATATATAACTTCATGGGCCTCTGTGCTGTCCTCACAACCTCAGGATGATTCTAGTATTTGTATTAGGTCTGGATCTTCAGCTTAATTTATCTAAAATAATAGCCAGCCATCCACCATAGTAACTCAGAGTTTATCCCTTCTCCAGTATCTGTCTTTTTGTTACTAAAGATTAATGAGGAGCATACTCCTGTAATTTTATTGATCATCTGTAAATTGTCAATCAAACACTGGATTATAATGTGATGTTGGACATGACGTGTGGAGCAGTTGAGAGAGGGAGTCTGACTGAAGACGGGAGAGGGTGAAGAGTGGTTGGAAAGGGAGAATGATTGAGAATAGGAAGAAGCATGAAACACTGACATGTTGGGCACAGGGGAGCGGGCAAGATTGGACAGGCTTTATGTAAATATAAGTTTTCTAATATATATCTATTCAAATGGCTTTCCTGTTTTTCTGCTTTCTGTTCTTCCCTTTAACGTATCCACTTTACATGATTAAAAATCAATTAATTCTGCTAAATGAGGTTCCCTGTTACTGTTATGAAGCTGATAATGATAGAGAAATTTGAAACGTAAGTTGTGAAAATGTGTTCAGGCTGAGTTTTGATGGTCCAGTAACCTGCTAATTCTCAAGGACAGCAACTGAAAACTTATGAGCCACTCACAAGCCCCAGTGAACAGAGGCAAAACTCTGGGTAAAATAAACTGATGCAAGAAAACTGTTTGTGCTGTGTGTGTTTTCAGATGTCTCATTTACTAGACTGCCTTGTTGATCAGTGAATGGAACATCTACAGTGAGTTGGGCATTCCTTACAGAGGGTTACTCCAACGTGGGGAGTAAGGCCACACCACCAACATAATCAGTTGCTTGCTGGGGACTGCACAAGGTCATTTAGTGTCTCAGACCTGTTTCATCATTTGACAAAACCACGGTTGAGCTGATGGGGACCTCACCTTCGCTTTCCTGTATGTGCTCCATTAACCTTGATTCACTTATTAATCTACAAACTACCTAATTCAGCCTCGAATAAATACAATGACCGAGTCTCAACTGCTGTCTGGAGCCAGATTTCCAACCCTCAGAAGATATTTGTCCTCCATCTTAATTTCTAAATTGTGACCCTTGGTCTATCTCTCCCAGATGGAGAAACTGCTCCCAATAGCCAACTCATAAATATACCCTCAGGATCTTGTGTGTTTCAGTAAGATTATCATTTGTTTTTGTGGTTTCCAGTGGGTATAAGCCCATTCAGTTCAACCTATCCTTATAAGACCATCCCTTCATCAGTTGAGTGAACCTTCTCTGAATTGTGTCTGATGAAATTACATCCTTAAGTAAGGAGACTAAATCTATACACGGTACTCCAGATATAATTTCATCAAGGCCCTGTATAGTTGCCGTAAAACTTTCCTACTTTTGTATTGCAGTTTAAAACAATAAACAACATTCCATTTCTTGTCTTAATCCCTAGTAACATACACTGTAAATGCCTGCAGGGCTGTGGACCAACTGCCAGAAGGTTGGGGGCTTGTTTTCGCCCAGCACAGATAGGATGGGCCAAGAGACTTTCCTGTGCTATAAGTTTTCTGTGATTCAAGTGCCAGGCCATATAAATGCCTTTGTACCACAGAGTTCTGTAACTTTAATTCAAATAATGTACTGCTTTTCTATTCTTTTGTTAAAGTGCACAAGTCCATATTATACTCCATCTACCAAAATTTCAGCATTTGCTTAATCTATTGAAATCCCTCTGTAGACTCTCTATTTCCACTTCACAACTTACTTTGCTATCTTTGTACAGGGTGACAAATATTCCTGGAGTTATGCTATATATATGTGCACTAGTTGTTTTCTTCCATTAATTAGACTGCCCCTCAATGCTGTCCATTGAGTACAGTTATTCGAATATGTTCTTCCACATGAACAGCTTGGCCAAGATAAATTATGAATTATCAGAACTCAAACAGCAGCTGGAACCACTCTGGATAGTACGTTTATGGAGGTGGTCTTATCACAGGTCCACACAGACAGGAAAGGACTGCCAGGACGTCTAAGAACCAGACGGGGGTCCCCTAACTGGTTTTCGTTTTGGCTAGTAGGGAAGGTTGTGATTCCTCAAAAGAGTGCAGCCACAGAGAAGTCCATGGCACCACAGCGGGCTCAGCTGCACATGATGGAAGAAAGAAGATTGGAACAGCAATAGTCATGTACGATTCATTAGATAATCAGTCAGCATTTCTGCGACTGTAGATATGACTCTACGATAGTATGGTGCCTCCTGATTCCAGGGTCAAGGTGTCTCAGAATGGCTATAGGACATTCTGGAGACAGTGAAAAGTGGGTGAGCTCCTGAAATAATCTCTGGATTGCTTTCAGTGCCATATGCTAGTGTGCAGGAGGGAGGACATCAGATTTGTGAGGTATTGGAACCAGTTCTTGCGCAGGTGGGAGCTGTAAAAGGTGGATGGATTTCAAGGAAACTTGTTAATGCTGTCAACATAGGTTTAAACTAGATCAGTGGAGGTAGGAACCTGAGCGAGAGTTCAGAGTGGAGGGAAGCAAGACTGGTAACAGGAAATAGTTGGAGATTAGAAATTAGAAGCATGGTGGCTTGGTGGTTAGCACTGCTGCCTCACAGCACCAGGGACCCAGGTTCAATTCCACCCTCGGGTGACTGTCTGTGTGGAGTTTGCACATTCTCCCTGTGTCTGCGTGGGTTTCCTCCGGGTGCTCTGGTTTCCTCCCACAGTCCAAAGATGTGCAGGTTAGGTGGATTGGCCATGCTAAATTGCCCGTAGTGTTCAGGGATGCATAGATTAGGTGAGTTTTAGGGGATGGGTCTGGGTGGGATATTCTTGAGGGTCGTTGTGGACTTGTTGGGCCGAAGGGCCTGTTTCGACACTGTAAGGCTTCTATGATTTTATTCTGTAAGATTAAAGAGAGCTGATGGCCTAGTGGTATTATTGCTGGACTGTTAATCCAGAGACCCAGGTAATATTCTGGGGACTGGGTTCAAATCCAGTCATAGCAGATGGTGGAATTTGAATTCAATATAAATCTGGAATTAGAGAGTCTAATGATAAACATGAATTGTCAAAGGAAACTCATCTGGTTCACTAATGTCCTTTAGGGAAGGAAACTGCCATCCTTACCTGGTCTGGCCTACATGTAACTCCAGGCCCACTTCAATGTGGTTGATTCTTAACTGCCCTCTGGGCAATTAGGGATGGGCAATAGATGCTGGCCTAGTCAGTGATGCCCTCATCCTGAGAATGAATAATAAACAATCAGCAAAGTGAAAGCAAGCATCATATGGGATTAGAATTTGGAACAATGTTAAAAATTTAAGGTATTCCATCTGAATGCATGCAACATTTGCAACAAAGTAGATGATTTAAAGCCACAGATAGAGGTAAATGGGCGTGATTTGATTGCCATTGTAGCTACACGGTGCCCAAGAATGAATATTCAAGGTTATTTATCATTTATGAAAAATGGGCAAAAAGGAAAAGGAAGCGGGTTAGTGTTCTTAAGAAAAGATGACATCAGTGAGAGGATCTTCTACTGAAGGATCAAGATGTGAAATCATTTTGGGTAGACCTATGAAACAGCAAGGAGCAGAAAACTTTGGTAGGTGTTTTTAAAAATTATTTAACCCCTATTTTTCCTCATCAACCTGTTCCGGGATGTTATTACACACCTCTGGGTCATGAACCCAGGTCCTTTGATCTATGGGTGGGGGCACTGCTGCTGTGCCACATGAGGGCCCTTTATTAGTGTTGTTTATTATCCACCAAACATTAGTGGTTATGTTTGGCAAGGTATAAATCAGGATATTAGAGGTAACATGGGCAATACAGTAATAGTGGGGAACTTTGATTTACATATAGCCTGGATAAACATAATCAGCACTAATAGTGTGGAGGATGAATTCCTGGAATGTGTATAAAATGGATTACTAGAGCAATATGTTGAAGAGCCAGCTAGGGTTCAGGCTATTTTGGATTTATTGTTGTGTAATGAGAAAGGGCTAATTAATAACCTTGATGCAAAGAAGCTTTTGGGAAATAGTGGCCATAATAATGATAGAATTTTACATGAAGTTTGAAAATGATATAGTTCTTTCTGAAACAAGGACCTTAAATCTGAACAAAGGGAACTAGAGGTGCAACTCGGAGATGGCGAGAACTGCGGATGCTGGAGTCAGAGAAAAGACAACATGGAGCTGGAGGAACACAGCAGGCCAGGCAACATCAGAGGAGCAGGAAAGTCGATGTTTCAGTTCGGGACCCTTCTTCAGAACTGGGGAGGGGGAAGGGAGCTGGGAAATAAACAGAGGGAGGAAGGGTGGGGCTGGGGGAATGTAGGTGGGATGGTGATAGGTGGATGCAGGTAGGGGATGGTAGGGATTGGTCAGTGGGAAGGGTGGGGCGGATAGTCGGGAGAGAAGATGGACAGGCAGTGTCAGATCAAGAATGCGGGAATGAGAGGGAGGTTTGGATGTGGGATGAGGCCGGGGTGGGGAGATTTTAAAACTGGTGAATTTTATGTTCAGGCCATTGGGCTGTAGGCTCCCGAAGTGGAATATGAGGTGTTGCTCCTCCAGTTTGCATGTGGCATTATTGTGGCACTGGAAGAGGCCCAGGATGGACATGTCATCAAGGGAGTGGGAGGGGGAGTTAAAATGGTTAGAGACTGGAAGATGTTGATTATCGCATACAGAGCGCAGATGCGTAGACTCGGGGACCATTTTGTGGAGCATCCACCTTTCACCATCCCACCTACCTTCCCCCAGTCCCACCCTTCCTCCCTCTATTTATTTCCCAGCTCCCTTCCCCCTCCCCAGTTTTGAAGAAGGGTCCTGACCCAAAACGTCAACTTTCCTACTCCTCTGATGCTGCCTGATCTGCTGTATTCCTCCAGCTCCACACTAACCAGACCGGCAAGTTGGCCATAGTGGATTTAGTGTTCACAAGTTACCTAGAAGACACGTCTAGCCAGGTATATGGAACATGCAGCACACAACTGTAACATTTCAAAATGTGCAGGTGTTTCCCAAACTCTGCTGTACATAGGCTCAATCAAGCCTCCTGCCACTAGACAGTCAAGGTCTGTAACTTCATAGCCACTGAGAGCCCATAGGACTAAGCATTCTAACAGGGACCACTGATTCAACTAACTGCAGTGATTCCCAACCACTCAACTTGCATTAGATCTGTCCTTGGAAAGCAAGAAAAGTAATAAGACCGTGGTGAAAGATTGGGGAAATGGTAGTAATCGAAGTGATCTCTCTCTCTCCTTTCCACCCACTCAAGCAAACCTCTGGGTCTGATGGACCACATTGCATCCAACCAAAAGCCTAGAACCTGATGCCCTGACTACAAGTCCCTGAACCTAGAACTGTCTATCACAGACACCATTAGTAAGACAGGGACAATGCCAATAATATTCAGAGACCAGGACAGGAGCAGCACAGGGACTGAGCACTTCAACAAAAAAGGTGATGGAAATCTGGAAATCCCCAATGGTTGCCAATGATGAAGGTCAATTGTAACATCTGGTACTAGGGGTCAGTCAGACTGAAGCGTCAAAAGAATGGATCAATCATTTAATTGTACAGCATTCAATGTTTTAATTGGACAGGACTCTTACCTATTGGCCAAACTGTGAAAACTAGCTTATTAAAACGTCACAGATAAGCATTGCCAGAATTCTTTG